ATCTGCCAATCTGGTCTCCTGGAGAGCAGCAATGTCAACATTAAGTTTATGTAACTGTTGGTCTGTGACTGCTGTTTTACGTATTGAATCTGTGTTTGTAAGATCATGATCAGGTTCAAGTCCAGGACACATTGTCCGCATATTCCAGCTACCAAGCCAGAGGCAAGTTGGTTTATTGCATCGACTGTAGTAGCTGTGTATAGCTGTGTGTGAATAAGTGTCTCCTCCTGCGCGCTGCATTGCCTGGGCTAGTGTTTGAGGAAAGTGCGTTGCCCAAGCAGCCCTATGCCATTCTTGGTCGCCCCAGTTAGATCCAAAGGACCTATGCCACTCTTGGTCGCCCCAGTTAGATCCAAAGGAAAGACAAGAGCCAGCTCTTTGGGTTCAGAGTTGGTTAAACACATACGGTATTTTTAGGAACCAGCAATAGATAAAGTAGGTATTATGCCTGTAGGACACAGTAGGGTATGATTTGGGTTAAGAATAGTAACATAAACAGAAAAATTAAAGCAAATGATGGACTGTGAAGAACGTTACCGTATAAATCTCATTATTCTGTTCCAGTCTTCATATGAAAAGTTAAGTGTTTGTCATGTCTGGAAAGAAGTGACAGAAGAATATATTCATCTTTTGAAAAATAGGCTTGCTATATAGAAGCAAACATACGTTCATGCCCTCTCTCTTTAAAGGAAGACGAGTTTGTGCTCCATTATCAATTTTCATAATATATTTGGTCACTTGAACGCTACTTTTCTGTGTGGGGATTTTCACCCAAGTTGATGATCAGTTTATGCCCACAAGTGTAAGTTGTCAACAAGTCCAACATTTTATACAAATAAAATAACTATGGATATCTAGTGATCAAAGACAGTAGATTTTAAAGAAAACCTGTCAACCTGAAACTGACTGACTTAATAAATTTTGAGGTTTTAATGGTACTCTTAAATAGTAGTTCAGGGACATTTAAAAATAAACTTCAAACCTCTTTTTATTAGTGATAGAAATGTAGCCGTGTTAGTCTGGTGTAGCTGAAACAAAAAACAGGACTATGTAGCACTTTAAAGATTAACAAGATGGTTTATTAGGTGATGAGCTTTCGTGGGCCAGACCTACTTCCTCAGATCAAATAGTGGAAGAGAATTGTCACAACCATATATACCAAAGGATACAATTTTAAAAAATGAACACATGAAAAGGACAAATGAAATTTCAGAACAGAAGGGGAATGGGGGGGAAAGGTAAATGTCTGTGAGCTAATGATATTAGAGGTGATAATTGGGGAAGCTATCTTTGTAATGGGTAAGGTAATTAGAGTCTTTGTTCAGACCTAAGCGTAAAGTGTCGAATTTGAGCATGAATGACAGTTCAAAGGATTCTCTTTCAAGTGTATTCTCAAAAGGCTTTTGAAGCAGGATGCAGGTAATTAAGTCGGTGAGACCATGTCCTTTCTGGTTGAAATGGTAAGAAACTGTTTTTTCTTTGTGATCCTGTCTGATATCTGTTTTGTGGGCATTGATCCTTTGGCAAAGTGTCTGAGAAGTTTGTCCAATGTACATAGCAGACGGACACTTTCGGCACGTTAGCATAAATTATATTTCTGGATGCGCAGGAATATGTGTTCTTGATCTTATAATTCACTTGGTTAGGTCCAATGATGGTATCAGCAGAGTGAATATGTGGACAAAGCTGGCAACGGGGTTTGTTGTAAGGGAAGGTACCAGGGTTGGTATTAGTGTGGTATGTCCTGTGGTTGTTGGTAAGAATCATCTTGAGGTTAGGTGGTTGTCTATAGGGCTACGTCTAGACTGCAAGCCTCTTTCGAAAGAGGCTTTTTCGAAAGATACTTTCGAAAAAGCCTCTTTCGAAATAGAGCGTCTAGACTGCACGCGGAACTTTCGAAAAAGCAAGCCGCTTTTTCGAAAAAAGCAGTGAGTGAGTCTGGATGCTCTCTTTCTAAAAAGCCCTGTTTGCTTTCAAGAACGCCTTTTTTCGAAAGAGCACTTTCGAAAAAAGGCATTCTTCCTCGTGCAATGAGGTTTACTGCCATTGAAAGAAAAGCCACGTTCTTTCGATTTAATTTCGAAAGAACGCGGCTGCAGTCTAGACG